ATCATCTATAATTAAAGTCAAGATTGATTATTTGATACTTTTTTCGTGTCCTGTGGTTTGAAAACCCTTTGTAATCATTCTAATCTATATTTATTTGAGATCTATCTATTTGTATTAGTAAAGAATTATTAATCTTGAAATATATTCTTTAGAATCTATAACGTGGTTTATCAGCGAGTCGCCACTATCAGCGAGTCGCCACTTTTTCAATATCTTTTATCATTCAATTTCAAGACGCGATATTTCAACGAATTATTATGGAAATACAATCAAAAGAGGCCAGAATAATCTTAGTTATTGAAGCTATTCAAAAATCAAAAAATCTTACAGTTGGAAAGGCTGCGAAAATCTACAAAGTCCCTCGAACTATATTACGAGATAGAATAGATAATCGAATTCATAGAATGGAAACTTGAGCAAATAATCTTAATTTGATTGAAAAAGAAGAAGAGGTACTTATTCAATATATTATCGATATAGATGAAAAAGGATTTGTATTTAAATTAAATGATGTAGAAGATATAGCGAATTATATTCTCGAATCAAGAGATGCGAAAAGAATTAGAAAGCTTTGAGCTTATCGATTTGTAAAATATTGTATAAAATTAAAGATATGTTTTAATTGTATTTATAACTTTTAAAAAGTTCTTTATAAAGATCCCAAGTTTATTAAAGAGTGGTTTGGATTGATATCGAATATGCAGGCGAAATATGATATTCAAGATTACAATTTCTATAACTTCGATAAAACTAACTTTATGATAGATATAATATGCCTTGGAATAATTGTAATTAGTTCTGAAAGAAATGGCAGAAACAAGGCAATACAATCAGATAATCGAGAATGGGCTACAGCAATTATATATAGTAATGAAGAGGGTGAAACTATACCTCTATTTTTGATAGTTCAAGGACAAGTTTATCTTTCCAATTAATATACCGAAACCGATTTTCCTATGGATTGGGCTATTAAATCTATTTCTAATGAATGAACGAATAATGAAATAGATTTAGAATAATTAAAGCACTTTGATAAATATACTAATCAATGAAGAAAGGGCAAATATCGAATATTAATATTGGATAAATATGAAAGTTATAAATCGATATCTTTCCAATCATATTACAAATCAAATGATATTATATATATAAAGTTATTATTGTATTTAAATTATTTAATTCAATTATTTGATATTGGATATTTTAATATATTCAAATATTCATATAATTATCAAATTGATAAGTTTATTAAGGTATATATTAATCATATTTCTAAAATTGAATTCTTTATAGCTTTCAAAGCTATATATCAACAATCGATTACAATTCAGAATATGAAAGCTAGTTTTCGAGAAGTAGGACTAATACTATTTGATCCTCAAGCTGTGCTTTCGAAATTAGATATTCGAATTCGCACACCTACCCCTCTATTGATCCTTTTGGAATCTGCCAACTCTTAGATCTCTCAAACATCTCATAATCCAATTGAAGCTCTTTTACAATCAATTTTAATGAAATCTCGAATTGCTCAATATTAATCAAGTTTTCCTATATCTATATTTGAAACTATAATTATATTAATTAAAGATATAAAACAATTAATTTATAAGAATATACTCTTAAATATAGAGATTTATATACTTTGAAAAATAAATAAGATATTAAGTAAATATTGATATATTAAAAAAACTTAATTACATTAAGAAGGAATACTTATTGATCAGGAAGTTATAGATATAATATCACAACAAAAGGTGGATATTCAGATTCGATGCAACAAGTGTCAAAATAGGGGAAATTCCAATAAGGAATCATCTACTAATCGATACTATAGTAAATGTGGAAAAACTGATCATAATTCAAGAACTTGTTCTAATAATATAATAGACCCTAGATTATTAGATTCTTAATAGTTTAAATCAATTGATTCAATAATTGTTGATTAAAATAATTTTAAAGTGGCGACTCGCTGATAAACCACGCTATAGTATTTATGTTTTAAGTCTTGAAAATAATTATAAATAATAAAATCTTTTTAATTATATTAATATATTTAAATATAATTATTTATTCTTATTTACCAGCTATAATCTTCTAATTCAATTTCTGAGTAGAATCGATTATAATACAAATACTTTGAATATCTTCGATTGCAAATCCAATTTTATCTATATTATATATATCATTTAATTTATACTTTCACTTAATAAAATATATTTAAAATATATCAAATCAAATTTGAATATTTTTTGAAATTATCTCTTTAATTTGATTAAGTTTTAATTGATATAAATAATATACTTTAAGTTCTGGATATCGTTTTTGGAATCTATAGATCCATTTGTGGCCTATAGATGGAATATTTGTTGAGGTAAAGTTTGAAGAGATGTTACGATAGTAACAACTGACTAATTAGGAGAGCTTGGGCCTTGTGCAAAAGCGATCAGATTTCATCGAATTAATATGTGATCTGGGCCACCTTAAGATCGTATGTGCATGCACTGTCAGAAAGCACGTGACTTGGAGCTTTTGGAGCTTGAGGATCCAAAAGGATCCAATGGAGCCTTTGGAGCTTAGGATCCAAAAGGATCCAAGGGAGCATGAATATCTATATAACCAAGATGGATTCCCTTTGTATAGAGCTTGATGCTCAAGATCAATCATTTAGTATACTCTACTATTAGTTACGAATTGCATTATTGTCATTACTTTAAGTCCCTGCTTGACGCCTAGTTATAAACCACCTCGAGAGCCTAGAGCACTTCCACGTGATCTAGACGGCAAACTTCGTAAGAGAATATGATTTGAATATATTGAATATAAATTTCATTAATTATTTCCTTTATTGATATAAATATAATAAAGAATCTAATAATAATAAAATATAAAATCTATTATACTATTAAAAGATTGGGTGGAAGAGGCCTCTATGTTGATTATATTCCTACGCGTGTAGGCGTCTTAATGTCCTGTTTAGGTAACTGTATTACTAATCACGACACGTGATTAGTACCGGTAACTTCTATTCCTTTTAACATATACTAATATTTTTTCTTTTATATTTGAAAGAATTGGAATTATTTTATAAGATTGAATATATGATTTTCTTTTAACGTGTTTCATCACCCCGTGCACCATATCACCTCGTGCACCACTTTCACCTCAATTCACATCAATCACTTCAATACGCGATTTATCAATAAATAATTATGGTATCGACATTAAATGAATGCGATATCGTTATGGCGATGGAGGTAATGGCTAAAGATAAAAATTTAAGCCTCTGGAAAGCTGCCAAGATTTACAATATTACTCATACAACACTCATACATAGAATGAAAAAGATCACTCCTGCCTCCGAATATCGTCAAAAACAGCATAAAATTACTAAAATTGAAGAGGAGGTTATTATTCAGCATATAATCGATATAGATAAGTGAGGATTTAGTCCTAAATTCATAAGTGTTGAAAGTATAGCGAATCATATTCTTGAATCGAGGGGTGAAAAGTGTGTTGGTAAACAATAGGCATATCGATTCGTGAATCGATATAATATTCTAAAAACATGTTTTAATTGTGTCTACGACTTCCAAAGGGCTTTCTGCGAGGATCCTAAGCTTATTAATAAGTGGTTTCAACTATTCAAAAATATAAAGGCAAAATATGGAATATAGGAATGTGATATATGGAATTTTGATGAAACAGGCTTTATGATGGGAGTGATATCCTTTAGTATGGTTATTACTAGTGTAGATAGATGTGGCAAAAGTAAAGGAATACAGCCAGGCAATAGAGAATGGTCGACAGCGATTGTATGTGGTAATGCAACGGGGGAGAATATACCTCTATATCTCCTTGTTCAAGGACAAATGCACCTAGCCAATTGGTACAGCGAGACGGATATGCCTCCCGAATGAATGGTTAAAACTACTATAAATAAATAGACGAATAATGAGATAGGTTTAGAATAACTAAAGCATTTTGATAAGCATACGAAACTCCGAACGAAGGGTGTATATCGAATGCTAGTCTTAGATAGATATGAAAACTATGAATCAGGCCCTTTTCAGAACTATTGTATAGAACATAAGATTAAAACCATCGGATTACCACCTCATTCGAATCATCTCACCCAACCTCTTAATATTAGTTATTTTAGTGTACTAAAACGTATATATAATAAGCAAATTGAGGGGTATATACGGATGCATATTAATCATATCTTCAAAATCGAATTCTTTATAGTATTCAATACTGTATACAAACAAGCAATTACAATAGAGAATATGAAAGCAAACTTTAGAGAAGCAGGATTAATCCCTTTTAATCCCGATACTGTACTCTCTAGAATGGATATTCGAATCTGTACACCTACTCCTCCTTCGCTTCCTCCGAGTCATATGCTCGATTGGGTCTCACAAACACCTCACAATGTCACCGAAGCTCTTTCACAAGCATTTTTAGTACAATCTATTATTGCTCGGCATTATTCTAGCTTTTTTACACCTATATTTAAGGTTACAGATCCTTTAATTAAGGGTGTAGAATACCTAGCTAGTACTGTTACGATTTAAGCTTTTGAGAATCATGATCTTCGATTAGCAAATACAGGATTAAGTAAACGTCGACATGCTAAAAAGACTCAATTACGTTTAGAAAGAGCTCTCACTATTCAAGAGACTAATGATATTATATTACAAAAAGAGGTGGATATTCAGATTAAACGCGATAGGCAACAAAATGGGCGGAATTCTAATAGAGAGGCATCGACTAATCGATGCTGTAGTAAATGTGGAATAACAGATCATAATGCAAGAACATATTCTAATGATAATATAGATCCTAAATTATTAGATAGTGCTTAGTTTAAATCAATTGATCAAGTAATTGTTGAATTATATATGATTATAAATAGGAATTGAGGTGAAAGTGGTGCACGAGGTGATATAGTGCACGGGGTGATGAAACACGTTAATGATTTTAATTATAAAAATTGATTTAAAAACTTCAAAATACTTTATAATTTTTCTAATTGAATCAAATTCCTTTAATTGAAGTACAATAATAGTATTCTGTATTTTCTCTTCAATTTGAGAAGGTGTAAGAGGTGGTTCAAGACGCATAGCAAAAATTATTATAGTTTGAAGTTAGTGATGGGTTAATTATGACCTGGTTCATTATAAGTTATTGTTACGAGGTTTGCCGTCTAGATCATGTGGAAGTGCTCTAGGCTCTCGAGGTGGTTTATAACTAGGCGTTAAGCAGGGACTTAAAGTAATGACAATAATGCAATTCGTAACTAATAGTAGAGTATACTAAATGATTGATCTTGAGCACTAAGCTCTATACAAAGGAAATCCATCTTGATTATATAAACCTTCATGCCTATGGCTAGTCAGGACCGCTGCGCGGTCCTGGACAGCCAGCGTTCCTCAGCGGTCCATAACGTGACTTAATCACGTTACCTTGTTTTAGTCATGTGACGCGGCGTAGAAGATAGCCGTCGTAACAGTTATATTATTTTTAATTTTTAAATTTCAATTTTTCAATTAATAAAATTATAAAAAATCTGAAATTTGTAAAATTTATTATTATATAAATAATAAATAACGTGGTTTATCAGCGAGCGGGCCATATCACCGAGCGGGCCACTTTTACCTCAATTTATATCTTTCAACTTCAATACGCGATTTATCAACAATATATTATGGAATCGAATAATCAAGAAGGTCGAATACTTTTAGCTATCGAAGCTATCAATAAAGACCAAAAATTAAGCATTCGGAAAGCTGTTAAGCTATATAATATCCCGCGTACAAAGATTCAGCACAGAATAGACGGTACTACCCCTTGTATCGAATCTCGAGCAAATAGTCATAATTTGACCAAATTAGAAGAGGAAGTACTTATCCAGTATATAATCGATATAGATAAGAGAGGGTTTGTATCTAAATTAAATAATGTAGAAGATATAGCGAATTATATCCTCGAATCGCGGGGTGCGAAGAAGATTGGAAAGCTCTAGGCTTATCGCTTTGTTAAACGATGTCCAGAATTAAAGATGTGTTTTAATCGTGTTTATAATTTTCAAAGAGCTCTCTACGAAGATCCCAAGCTTATTGAAAAGTAGTTTAGATTGGTATCGAATATATAGGCGAAATATGGTATTATCGATTCCGATTTCTACAATTTCGACGAAACCAGCTTTATGATAAGTATAATATGCCCTGAAATGGTTGTAACTAGTATTGAACGAAATGGCAGAAGCAAGATAATACAATCAAGCAATCGAGAGTGGGCTACAGTAATTATATATGGCAATAAAGAGGGTGAAATTATACTTCTATTTCTAGTAATTCAAGAATAAGTTCATCTTTCCAATTGATATACCGAAACCGATTTTCCTGCGGATTGGGCTATTAAATCTACTTTTAATGAATAAACGAATAATGAGACAGATCTAGAATAATTAAAGCATTTCGATAAATATACTATTCGTCAAAGAAAGGGCAAATATCGAATGCTAGTATTGGATAAGCACGAAAGCTATGAATCAATATCTTTTCAATCATATTGCAAATCAAATGATATTATATACCTCAAATTACTACTACATTCAAATCATTTAATTCAATCACTTGATATTGGATGTTTCGGTATACTTAAACATTTATATAATTCTCAAATTGAAGAGTTTATCAAAGTATATATCAATCATATCACTAAAATTGAATTCTTTATAGCTTTCAAAACTGTATATCAACAATCATTTATTATTCAGAATATGAAAGCTAGTTTTCGAGGAGTAGGTCTAATACTATTCGATCCTTAATCTATACTTTCAAAACTAGATATTAGGATTCGTACTTCTATCCCTTTATCTACCTTTTTGGAACTTACCAATTCCTGGATCTCTCAAACCCCTCATAATCCAATTGAGGCTCTCTTATAATCAACTCTAGTAAAAGCTCGAATAACTTGTTATCAATCAAGCTCTTCTACACCTATATTTGAGATTGTACAAGTTTTAATTAAAGGTACAAAGAGATTAGCATATAAAGTTACACTTTTGAGTATTAAGAATTATATATTTCGAAGAGCAAATGAGGTATTAAGTAAATGTCAACATACTAAAAAAATTCAATTATATAATAAAGGAGTACTTACTGGACAAGAAACTGAAGATATATTATCATAACAAGAGTTTGATAATCAGATTCAATACAACGAGCGTCAAAATGGGGGAAATTTTAATAGGGAATCATCTACTAGTCGATATTGTAGTAAGTGTGGAAAGACTGGTCATAATTCAAGAACTTGTCAGAATAGTATAATAGATCCTAGATTATTAGATTCTTGATAGTTTCAATCAATTGATTTAATTGTTGTTAAATAATATGGGTTTGAAATGATAAATTGAGGTAAAAGTGGCCCGCTCGGTGATATGGCCCGCTCGCTGATAAACCACGTTATATAATTCAAATTTTGTTAAATTATTGCCACGAACCACGATTAAGATTACCCGATAAAGTCAAGTATCGGTGTTTAGGCCGCCGATTACCGGGGGGTTCCTTATCGCTCGCGATAAGGAACCCCTTGTAAGCCGCGGTTAAATCACACTCCCCCTGTAATCGGTAGCTAAATCACCGACACTCATCATACTACTATAATCTGAACTGTGATTCGTGACAATGTAATATTATTAAATTGATTCAATAATTTTATTTTCAAATTTTTTAAATTGTTAATATTTTTGAGTTTATTTATTTTATAATTTGTATATCTCCTGATGATCTATATGTAAAGTAGGTGTTTTATAAATAAGAGTAATTGTTAAAAGGAATGATCTCACACAGGGAATAGTGGGAAGCTGATAGGGCAGAACTGAGGTAATATTGGTCTTGTAGGTTAATCTCTCTTCTAAGTTCTACGGAAGTGCGAAGCTCTCTGTAAGAGAGCTTCTCAATCTAGTCCTAACAGGACTAGTGCCCTGTGCACGTGCTACGCAGGAACCATTCACTTTAACAGTAATTGATAATAAAGTGATTTTTAAAAACCAGTATGACTAATCAAAACATTACCAAATTCTCCTCGCTCATGATTTTTCCTCATGCAACATAGTTGTATTTTGCAGATGTGGCATCCCACACGATCACCAAATACAAGAAAAGCATCGTGATGACATCACTTGAAAACCATCACTGAACTTACCCTCATAGCTAGCAAATATTTATCATTGCGTCGAGCAAAGAGACAACAGTCAGTGATCACGTGACATTACCCAAGTCTTTCGAGCGCCACGGAGTCAACGTGAGCCTCACCGTATATCGAAAGGGCGATGCCTTCCGACCCTCTCACGTACGTTTGTACTTGCAACCAGCCTGGTCTCGTTCTTCTCTTCTATCGCTACTTTACCTCTCCGCCCCAACTCCCTTCACAACACTACCCACTCACGACTCCTTCCCTTCAAGGCTTGCGTGATTTCCAAAAGTCAACATGTGAAACTTTAGGCCTTACTGGTAAAACACGGGTGGCGAAGGAGGGCTTCAATATCACTGTTGCGGGTACGACATCGAATGTCCATTCGTATATCGAGTCGTGTATATCCCATTGGTCGTTTGCCGGGCTAGAACTATCCTTAAAAAATGAGAAGGGAATTAACGAATTTTTTAAACCTACAAAAGGCTGTGCGTGTGTTTTCACGAATTTAAGTATCCGTATCGCAGATGAGATTACCCCGTTGGGGATCACGAATTATGAGCCCAAAGATTGGAACACGGTGACTTATCTGAGTCCTGAGGACTTCCACAATATGGTTACTGCTGCGACAAATGAGGATGGAGAGAAAATGTTACTTGATATACGCAATCATTACGAGTCACGGATTGGATATTTTGCGGCACCAGATGGGTCTGGTATCCAGACTGTGAAGCCACAGGTTAGGAGATTTTCGCAGTTCCCTGCATTTGTAAAGAGACATATAGATCCCACTCTTCGTTCTTCATCTGAACACAGGAAAGATGAGAGTACTCCTGGTAAAACGATTTTCACCTATTGTACAGGCGGCATTCGCTGTGAGAAAGCCACAAGGTGGATTGCAGAAAATGTGGAGCAAACTCCACAAGACAAAATCTACACCTTGAAGGGAGGTGTATCGGGATACGTGGCTTGGTTTGAGAAAGAGATGATGGCTGGCAGGAAGAGAGAAGATGAGTGTTTATGGAAGGGTAGGGAGTATGTTTTCGATGGAAGGGGATCATTGGGGCTGGGTAATGCAAACGGAAGGAAGAAGGTGGCGAAGTGCCATGGATGCGGGAAGGAGGAGGATAGAATGGGAAAATGTGACATGGAAGGATGTGAGTTAGTATTGGTGGTTTGCGAAGGCTGCGACGGCATCAAGTGCTGTAATAGTTGTGGGGGAGTAGATGGAAAGGGGAGGAGAATGGTTTGTGATTGCGAAAGCCAAAGGGAATTTGGGCTATGGGGGAGCGAGGGTATGAGAGGCGTCAAAGGCGTTTCAGCGAAGCAAAATAGGTTACACGAGCGAGGAAAGAGACAGGCTGTAACCGATAACATAGATATTAGAGTCAAGGTAATAAAATAAGATAGTTTGTGATTCATCACTCCATACACCAAACAAGGTACTTTGCACCCGTTCAGTAAAGCTCAAGTGGGCATCCCTGGTCGACACTCTTCTTGGGCATCTTCTCAACAACAACCTCTTTCGTCAGCTTCATCAACTGCTCGCCTAAATCTTCGTCTTGGGACAACTCGCTTCCGGGCTCGGGGATTGCTGGTGGACAGATATACAATCCACTTTTTTCCACCGCAGTACTGGCGAACAAGGTACTGACACAACCATCCCATTGATCTTTCTTCAAGGGCTTCATGAGGACAGACATGCCATACCCGAGTGTTGGATATGGTTCATGAATATCAGCCTGCGACATTTTTGTCTCGACAAATCCAGGATGCACAGCGTTGACCAAGATTTTGGGATATTTGGAAGTGAGATGACGAGCTAGGTAACGTGAATAAAGTATAGACGCCAACTTCGACCGTCCATATTGTCCATTTGGTCCTAAATCTGTGTTCAACTCATCCACACTTGCAAATTTGCAATCGCTCGGAGTGGCTTGATGCGCATTCGAGGACATGTTGACGATTCTGACGATATGCCCTGCCTCTGCTGTTTGCTTGAGAATTGGCAACAAGTGACTTGTGAGGACAACGTGGCCGAAATGATTGACCGCCATATGTCTATCAAGACCATAGTCGGTAAGTTGATATGTCATGATCCCTCGTGCAGCGAGATTGCACAGGATATCAACTCTATCTGTGCCCTCGGATATTGTGTGAGCGACCTTGGATACGGCTGGCCAATCGGACATATCACACTGGAGGAATGTGCATCTTTGGGCTGCCTCGGGTGAGATAGTCTTGGAAATATCCTCTACAGCATCATCGTAAACTTCCTGGGATACAGCAATGATGAATAGCTTGGTGAGGTTGTTTTTCAGAAGGGTGTGTGCACAACCATAGCCGATGCCTTCACTACCGCCAGTTATGACTGCCACCTTCCCGCTCTGGTCAGGGCAATCCTCGAGAGAGAATTGGTGCTCTGGTTTTGCGAGAGAGTGCCTAGAAAGCATCAGTATATCAAAATACACAAAGAACAACAGAAACATACGTGCCCCCGGTGTTCTCGGCAATAGTGTTCTTAACTGTTTGCATGATATTGGAATTTGAAGTTTGAAATTGGAGGTGGGAAATGGAATAGAGAATGAAGTCCACGCAGCAGTTCTTTCATCTATTATACTCAGCGGAATCGCCCTTACGTCAATGTTGTATATAACTTCTAAATATGTGAGGTCAATTGTCATATTGTTATGATGTCACTATATACATCCTGGGTGTTGGGGCGAACATGCCGTGGGGTAACAATCGTCTGAGTTTACCGAAAGCGTCAATCAACCTGTGCCTTGTTAATATTATTATCCATACCACGGACAGCTTAGTTGATCTATTAATCTTGACACTTGTTTCTTTAGGTAATGTTTAGATGCGCGACAAGACTCCCATTGGTGCTATATCACACAATGAGAACGAAAGCTTGAAAGTTAATCGCGCTTTGCCCCCAAATACTACAACCAAGATTCTGCAATTGGTAATTGTTTATTAGCTAGAATTACCTCTTCGTGTCTTGCGTCTTATATGTTAAGTCCGTCTCGATCATCTCAATTTTCTATGCCTCGATATACTTCTTCAGGTCTCTCAACCTCTCTTTTGCTGATTCAAGAACCTTATCCTCTTTGCATACCGCAAATCGCAACCAGTCCTCGCCAATATGAGCATTTTCATCTGTGTAAAATTCGGTTGGAGGAATAGCAGCTACGCCAACCTCCTGTATTAAAAACCAGCTCAACTTGAAGTCTCTTGGACGATCTTTAACGTGGTCTGGAAATGGATAATCCGAAGGTATCTTGACCTTCTTCATGTTCACCAAAACGAAATAACCTCCTTCGGGGTCGGAAAAGGGAAGATCCAGCTCTTTCCAAATTTCGTTGAAAAGATCCATTTTACCTTTCATCTCAGTAACGGCTGACTCCCAAAAATTGTTGGTATCAGCTTCTTCAAACCCGACAGCAGCAGCTTCTTGCAGTGGAGACACAGAAGAATAGCAAATTCTGGTATGTGCTGCTGCAACATATTGAATCAGATGTGGTGGTCCGATCAACCATCCGACACGCCATCCAGTAGCGTAAAAGTTCTTTCCCGCAGACCCGACGGTAAGTGTGAGTCTTTCAATTTCTGGAGACAATGTTGCGATTCTTGTAAATGGCGTATAGTAGAGTCGGTCATACACTTCATCGGAAAGAATGATAATTTCGTTCTTGACGCAAAGCTCCCCAATCTTAAGCAATTCCTCTTTTGAGAAAACCTTTCCAACTGGATTGTGAGGCGTGTTTAGCACGATCATCTTTGTCTTGGGTGTAATGGCCGCCTCGAGCTCCGCAAAGTCTATCGTCCATTCGCCAGCAGAAGTGTTGTGAGTCGCACCCCGTTCAGGTGGGTGAAGGGGTACGTAACGAATCTTCCCCCCCGGCATTTCAATGTTGCTGATGTATCTGTGATAGGCTTAGTATCGCATCTGTCAAGTCCACTCCGGCATACCAGCTTACTGGTCAAAGAATGGCTCAAATATTATGACCTCGTCTCCCTCCTCGATGAAACCCATAAAGGCACTAAGCATGCCTGCAGCTGGTAAGCGAATATCCCCATTGCTTCGCGTCTCCCCTAACCTTCATTTGCACCGGTTGTAATAGTAATTTCTGTCTCTGGGTTCAGCTTTCTCCCCCATAGAGGAGAATACGAATCTGCAATTGCTTGCTTAAGACGTGGACGACCCTTCGTTGGCGAATACTGGTTGCATTCAACCTTATCAAGAGCTGCCTTGGCGGCATCGAGGATAAACTTGGGAGGATTGTATCCGAAGAAGCCTTGGCCCATATTCACAATAGGTTGTTTGGGGGAGGCGGCAGCACCCTCATTGACAATGGACCTGCAAATGCCTCATGTTAGAGGTGCGATAAAATGTCAGAAAGCAATCAGCGTTATGCTTATTGACATTGGTATGAAAGTATGAATAAATTTTCTAGATCGATTGAAGTGACTGTTTAGGAATCTCCTGTGCCTTGCACTTGCAGAGTTTCAATTAAAGTAGATGGCACGACTTCCATGAGCGCAGACGACGTGAGTTGTACATACCAAACGTCTTGCTTTCTTGCAGCAACACGAGCAGCAGGTTGAAGCTTAGATTTGTTACTCATGGTGGGGTGAAAGAAGCGGGGAGATGCGATAGTAGAGATCTTGATATAATGTCTAGTCAAAGATTGTGCCAAAATAAGAGAGGATTTTCTAGATATCATTGATATTTCCAATAGATATTGAAAAGAAGGAGGAGAGAGGAAAGAAGGAAGAGTAAAGTAAAGTAAAACACAAGTAAAGTGGGATCTTGGTGATGAGATGAGATGATTTGATAAGATTTGATATTATTCACAACTTAATTATCGCACTTTTCTCTTTCCCCAGTTTCCATTAGTGCCGGTGTCGCAATGTCGCAATGTCATGATACCGTACAGAGTAGTGGGGGATATAACATTAGCGGGACGGCCCTATCAAAATATGGGGATTCGTTTCTGGGTGAAGGAGGTTAAACCATTTATTTACTTGTTACCTACCTTTACCTAGGTATATTTATTATCTACTATTTATTATTTACCATTTACCATTTATCACTTACCACCTATTGCTTACTGCAAGAGCTTCCTTCTGGTATTACAATATACGAGTACCCTACTAGCTAATTCAACACAACAATGCTAGACTGACAGCAACAAGACTTTGGCAAGAGATTCCGTGTTTCTTGAGCTTTGAGCTTGACCTTAACCTTCAACCCGCCTGCCCATTTTTCTCTAGTTCGCAATCAATAATGGCTTCAAAAACAAGCCCTGCAGCTTTAACGCCATCAAGACCGTTACATATCACCATTCGATTCGCGGATTCGATCCCTGATCTGCTTTTGGACATTCCCACTCAAAATAACATCACCGGTGTGGGTTTGAAACATTTAATTCGTTCAAAGCTCAAACCTCCTGCATCACAGCGTCGATTTCGATTCATTTACGGTGGGAAATTCATACGAGATAATGATTTCCTCACAGCTATACTCAAGGTCCCAACACCACCGCCACGAGCTATAGATTTGAAGGGCAAGGGGAAGGACGTAGAACCACCTCCAGCTAGGGTTTACATCAATTGCTCAATTGGCGATGATGTTCTTAGTCCCTTCGAGATTGAAGCAGAAACGATAGCAGCCACCGCTGCGCTCAATAAGCCAAAGAAGACAAAGTTACCAGATGGAGCTTCTCCGAGCCTCGGCACACCAGCTTCAAGCACAACAGTCGCACCACGTGGCTTCAACCGCTTTCTCTCGGCGGGCTTCTCTCCAGCTGAAGTCAATCAACTACGCCTTCAATTTCAATCAATTCAAGCGAGCATACATACACCTGATACTATGCCGTCTCCTGATACTTTGTTACGGATGGAAGACTCGTGGATAGATAATAATGCAGGGAATGGCGCAATTGGGACCGAGGGTGGTTTTGACTTTGGAGATGATGGTATGGGCAGTGGATTCGATGATTTGTTATGGGGTAACATCATGGGATTTTTGTGGCCACTCGGATGTGTGGTATGGGTATTGAGAGAACCTGGGATATTGTCATCAAGAAGACAAATTGCTGTCTTTACGGGCTTTCTCCTTAGTATCACATTTGGATTTTTAAGAGTTCTTTCGTGAAAATCCAAGATTGTGAAGGTAGCTTTCAAGCTACTGGGGAGACCTTGTATCTTATATATCCGCATGTGGTGATATGAGAGAATGAGCGAGTTCTTAACGGAGTTATTGGGAATTTTCGAAACAGATGGCGATTAAATGTTTTACAAGACTTTAAGAGCGCAAGCTTGTATTTATATAAACATATTCTTCTGGTGATATGGGGGATTGAGGGAGCTTTCAATGGAGTTATTGGGGTTGCAGAAGAGATGGCGACAGCGATGGCAACGGAAGTTTTACATGATACCCTGTCAGTTGAGTAATATTGATATAGCATGAGAGATTATTGGCTTGTCATTTTACGACGGTGAGGACCGTCAAGTTGGCATATCTGACGATACATCAATACATTCCAATGACCACCAAACTTGTGGTCACGACAGGCCACCCTTCGAGGCCGGGGATGTCTCTAGTCACTATTCACGTACATTTAGGTAATTTTGCCAGCCATTCACGCCATTCACCTTGAATCAAATGCACAGAAAGTTCTCGGGGGGGCTTTGCGTAAGCAGCCTGTTTCTCTTTACCCAGCTGATTGTTGGCACACCACTTCTTTACCCGCTGTATTAGGTAGATAATATAGCTTTCCTGCATTAGATGCGTTGAGCGACCGTTGAATTTCTCTCGATTCTCTGTTTCACAGTCGAAATATTCTATTCTCTTTCAACATTTTCATTGACTTTCGTTGTCATTCATATTCATTACTATTGAATGAAGTGTATAGTATTATGGCAACACTATAACGCCAATCTTTGATCGCCGACCATACAGATATGGTTTGTTACCTTTCGCCTGCCTCCGGTTACTTGCATATTTTGTAGCACCTTGGCGGAATCTTGTTCATCCGTCCAAGCAAAACGGGCCCGGTACTTTGGAACGTGTCATAGAAAGCCAGGAATCATCACTGTCGTCAAACCAAACTGTTGGAGGTTTCTTTGGGCATCGGAATAAGCTGCAATATGTAATGCTATGCAAGACAAAAGGGATGTGGTATTACAACGTTTTGCGTTGGGAAGATGACCAGTTGAGCGAGGGCATATTGCATTTATAGTATAGAAACGTTACTCTTGCCAGACTTTTGTTTCAAGTTTCTTTCTGCTTGTATACATATCTTCCTTTCCTCCCATACTTTCGTGATTCATTAATCCGAGTTTACTTTGAACATCAACATGGCGACATCGCAAGAGGCCATCGATGCTTTTAATGCGGCTGGAACAGCTCTCCCAGATATACAAAATGATACTTTCTCAAATCCGATCGAAGTCGATGTAATATGCCTGAGCTATCATCTAGAAACCAAAGCTTACCAGTGAAGGACAATGATGCACTTGAGAATGATTCCGCATTTGGCGGACCTGCGGCGTAGGTAATCACTACTTACTTTGAATAGGGACTAATGCCAGAAAAGTAGCAATACGAGTAAGACTTCGTTGACATCTGGAATTACACGATATAGGTATATGCCTCTTTACTTCTACTAGAAGTTCTCAAGCTGATCTGGGCCGTTTTAGGGAAGAAGTATGACTGTGTTTAGTATAGCGAAGCAAACAAATGTACTCACGCCTTCTAGAATGGTCGGAGATACCACGCTTACAGAGATGGAAAATATTTGATGGTAGGACAATCCTCGACACTCTCACCAAAAGATGCTAAATAGTTAAGCCGAACGATGACGACGAACAAGATCGTATGGACCTGGTATGTATACGGATTCTGAATATTGGAAGGAAATGGCCTAATTAATTTACAAAGCTTCATCACGTTTTCAACCTCGTTTTAGATGGCAAATTATACTTGGCCCCGATTGAGGATCCTCAACGAGTACTCGATGTTGGAACCGGTACTGGAATTTGGGCAATTGATTTTGCTGAGTATGGCCTTGTCACTTCAGTAGAAGGTATATATCTGACTCCGGTTTTTAGCCAATATCCATCATCACATGTGGTGGGTTGTGATTTATCTCCAATTCAGCCTGGCTGGTATGTCTTCTCCTTCCCTTTACGCATGTTTGCTAAGCATATTGCAGGATACCACCAAACCTTGAATTCGAAGTAAGGGTCGCCGGTATAAGCTTACTAGATGAGACTACTTACCAAAATTAGATTGACGACGTCGAAGATACATGGCGGTATAGTCAGAAGTTTGATTTCATACATATCCGCTCTTTGGGTGGTTCCATCGCTTCTTGGTCTGTTGCACAATCCCACTCAAGATGGAATGATTGATGATTACCAACATTATACTAACTATTAGTTCACAGGCCTCATCTTCTCCAACAAGCTTTTGACAATTTAAACGAGGGAGGTTATATCGAGCTTGTAGACTTCGAATAGTCTGTACCTGCTTCCTTTCAACTTCTTCCACATCCCTGTCCACATAACTCGAACAGTTCTAACTCGAATCCGGAATACAGCCATGGATACTCGGACGATGGGACGGGAGATGTGCGTATCATCCATACTTGATTACAACACAACGTTCATCTGATCAATAAATAGTTAGCTCCGTCCTTCCAAAAGTGGCAGGCGGGCCTTGACGAAGCATCGAAACTATTCGGAAGAGATTTGAATGTCGCGATGAAATTTAAAGATTGGCTAGACGAAGCCGGATTTGAAGCAGTTGTCGAGAGACATTGGAAAGTAGGTGGCCATTTTCTATTCTGTGTGACAGCAATGGATTCGAATCTTAGATCTATTTTCGCTGGTCATGAGACAACTACTCAGAACGATTTATGGATCCCATACTGGTGCTCCGGTCCTGGTTGAACAAATCAATATCCTGTTTCTTTTCTCACCTACCTAGACCCTATTCCCTTACTCTCTTTTATTAATCCACATCTTACTAACCACCACCCGTCCAGCTTCCTATGGCGCCCTGGGCCCGCGACCGCCGCAACAAAGAAATTGGCCTATATATGCAGCAGAATATGTTAGACGCCACCGTCGCATATGGAATGGCGCATTTCACGCGGATATTAGGATGGACACCTGAAGAGTTAGTGATTTCTTACTTCCACCCCCTTCATTTCTCTTGCATTGTCAAACCATACCCTTATATTTCCGTACAGCTAGTAACTAGGTTCATGCGAAATGACGTTCTTAATACAGACACTAGACTAATAACCTCAGATACCAAGTTCTCGCCGCCGGCGTACGCAATGAATTTAAAGATAGCAGAGTTCATAATTGGTGTAACATGTATATAGTATATGGATGTAAGCCGATGGGAAGTGGAGCCGAAAGAAATGCGCCTGCCACGGGAGCTCCTGTGCTGTCTGGATTTGACGCGTCTCCTGATACTGCGCAGAAATCGATTGGAACAGAGAGTGTTACGGAGAAGAAAACTGGAGATGGGAAGAATATTGAGGGGCGGAAGAAAGTAGGTGATGGAAATGTTGAAGAGAGTGATATAGCAGCTGTCGTTAAAGAGGCTGGAGAGAATGTTATGGCGCAAGGGAAGGGAAAAAGTAAGGTTTTGGAAGCTGTTAAGGAGGGCGTGGGGAAAAAGAAAGGAAAAAGTGGAAAGTGGTTAGGTTAGATGTGGAGATAAAGAGGTAAAAAGAGACGGAGTAGACGGAAGATGGATTGTAGCAGTGGATTTACAGCTTTAATGAAGCGAGTCAATATGTTAATGCAATAGAACAAGAAGAAACACTAGTAGGATATGGAAGGAAGTAAAGTAAATCACAAATCAATCTCATTATCCCATCTAGAGTTGTTATATAGGTAAATAGCAATATGAAAATGCCACTGCATGCTCTTTTTTTTTTTTCATCAGTAACTTTTTCCATGACCAATTTCAAGGAAGTTAGGAATGGTTTCTGTCTCCCATCTGGTCAGACTCAAATTCCCCTTCCTCCAAAAATCCCAATCTACCTATCCGATAAGATAAGTCAATAATCAGCTCAACAGAACCCTCACACCTCTACTA